GGGGAATGGGAACCAGGACCACACCAGGACACTCGTAAGCCGCACTACGAACTCCACTATTGGATCCGGACACTCTCAGGGCACAGAGACTAGAGACACGAATTCCACTCCCACACGGGAGCGCCACGCTCCACGGCAGTAAGGGAGAAGGGGATCAGGCCAAGGGGATGTTAGGGAACCACTGACAGGGGTATCCGGAGGGACATGGGGAGAGGGTCGAACTATGCACACGAAACGGATACACACACAGCAATAGCGGCCTTATTGACACTCTAGGACAACACGCAGTACACAAGAACCGCTGGGACACAACACTGCATACCTAGAACACAGGGCGAGGGGGGGAAACCTGGAGGGACGGGGGGAGGCATTGACACACCACAGCGTAGGAGGGGAGATAGAGCAGGGGAGGAGATCCTAGATGAGAAGGCGAGAGAGCATGGGGAGACACGGGGTAGAGAAAGGGGCAGGACACAAGGAGAGACGGGGAACAAGAACCATCCGGGAGGGGGGGGTGGAAGGGAGAAGGAACAAACACATGTGGAGAGGGAGGGTGGAGGAGAGGAGGAGCAAGATAGGAGGGGAGGGGGAGGAAAATCATAATGCTACCTTGTTTATATTAATCTATATAATTAAAAAAAAAAAAGTCATGGGAACTACAATCCCACCCCGCAAAGCCAACCCTAATGCAACAGGAGCAGGGAGGGGAGACGGGTAAAAGTGAGACCACCCCCCACACACCTCCAAACCGGACCCAACAACACCTAACTCCATTTACTCTAGATCCCAAGCAAAGCACGCATGCTGCAGGCCAGGGACTAGCCCTAATGAGGGGAATAGCCATAGGGGGGCACCCACAGCGCTAGACCACCACCCCCAGAAACCACACGTAGCCACTCCTCACGCGGACCACTAGGTACCCACGCACCATTCCCGCCACACCTGGAACATATAAGTAGATGGTGAATCAGGCACCAAACCCATACAACTGCAGGAAGCCCGCCAACCATGCCACCTTGCTGAAAAATACAATAACTGTAATAATAAACACACAAAAAAAAAAAAAGGCACACAGAAGGGTGCAGCCACGAATCACTCATTGAGACCACCACGAGCCACAACCACGGCCACTGTCTAGCCCACTACCCACGGCCACACCACTCAGACGGGGCATACAGACCCGACCCGTGCCGAGCGGGCACAGGAGACAATCCAGACAGCTAGGGCCGGAGGCGAAACGGCCTTCGACTCACCCCCAGAGGGCATAGGACAAAACTCACCCCTACGCTAGAGGGGTACCATACTTCGGAGGTAACCCCGGGCACCCAGAACACGGGATCCCAGGGACGCACCGTCCGGATACCTGTCCACACCTCGAACCTAAACGGAGAGCACACCAAGAGAGGCATAGGACAAACTCACAGACAAACCCACCACACACCCGCTACCCCTTACCCACACCTTTCCACTACCCACCACCCCCCGCCATATGGCAGCCGCCCCGGGTCGGCAGGCCCCGGGACGGGCCCACCACGTCAGACAGGACCTGAGCGTTGTTACGTATAACGTTCATGGACTCAACATCCGTGAAAAGCGTACCAAGCTTCTCAGGGACTTGAAACGGTACGGAGCGTCGGTAGCATACATCCAGGAGACCCACTTTCAAAGCCTCCGAGCACCATCACTCCAGGACCGCAACTTCCCAGTGGGATACTTCAGCAATAATCCACAGCGCCGCACGCTGGGAGTGGGCATCCTATTCTCCAGATGGACCCCATACATTGAACAAGACACGCTCCGATGCACATCAGGGAGGTACATCTTCACAAAAGGCACCATCCATGACCAGAAATACACCTTCGGGAACATATATTCCCCAAACACGAAACAATACCACTTTCTCCGCAGGGTCATGATAGCTCTGATGAGGTTCGCCGAGGGCACGCTGATTATAGGAGGAGACCTTAACCTCCCCCTACATGATCGAGACACCTCAGCGACACACGCATTGACACCACCCGGCAGGCACGCAAGAACGCTCCAACTACTCCAACACCATCAACTTACAGACTGCTGGAGGGCGCTGAATCCTGAACTACGAGACTACACATTCTATTCCACGATGCATGACACATACTCGAGACTGGACTACTTCCTCCTACCCTACCACAGCCTACCCCTCCTGGTAAAGGCAGAAATTCTACCGATGACCTGGTCGGACCATAACCCAGTCCGCATACGGCTCACGTCCCCACTATTCAGACCTCGTCAAGTTTCCTGGAGACTCAATGAGTCCATCTTAACAGACCCCACCCTGGTGGCGAGGACCACGCAGGTCCTCCAGGACTACTTCAACACCAACGAAACCGAGGACACAACACACCTAACATGCTGGGAGGCACACAAGGCGGTCATACGAGGCCACTTTATCGCACACTGCTCGGCACGGAAGAAGGCACACGCGAAAACAGTAACGGACCTCAGCACGGACATAGCCCTTCTGGAGAACCAACACAAACGGACATTGGATGCCACAACCTATAGGGATCTTCTCCATAAACGCTCCCAGCTAGCTGAGCATATGAACCGCACCATCCAACGGTCCTTTCAGCACTTCCGACATCTAGTGCACGAACACGGGAATAAGTGCAGCAGACTACTCGCAAATCTATTGAAGCGCCGTAGGACGCATCTCTACATTAGCAAAATTAAAGACCCGTCCCAGCGGATGCATCACCTCCCAGACCAGATCTCCACCACGTTCCTTAACTACTACCGAGACTTATACAACATACAGAAAGAGGCACGAGACGCCGCAGAAACTCGCGGCCTCAATACCATTCACACATACCTGGCATCAGCAGGGCTACGCCAACTAACGGACCCTGACCGCGAACTATTGGACGCACCCATTGCCCCAGAGGAAATCTCGATTGCCATCAAAAAAGCGCAGACGGGCAAGTCGCCAGGACCAGACGGTCTGCCGTTACAATATTATAAGACAGCAAACATCACGCTCCTCCCAAAAGACGGCAAAGACCCAACTTCCTGCCAGAGCTATCGTCCGATCTCTGTCCTCGATGTCGATATCAAGCTACTTGCCAGCGTGCTGGCCAACCGCCTGGCACCTCTCCTGCCAGACCTGATACATCCTGATCAGACGGGTTTCATCCCAGGCAGAGAGGTCAGGGACAGCACCATACGGGCGCTGAACCTGATCTCCGTAGCATCACAATCCGCACGGCCATCCCTACTTCTGTCGACAGATGCCGAAAAGGCCTTTGATCGGGTGGACTGGAACTTTATGTTCGAGACCCTCCGGACCATAGGCATTGGACCAGGATACATTCAATGGGTGGAAGCGCTATATACCACTCCGACAGCGCGGCTCAGAATCAACGGAGCACTTACAGACCCGTTCCAAATTGGGAACGGGACGCGCCAGGGCTGCCCCATGTCACCCATACTATTTGCACTCACCCTAGAACCCTTCCTCAACAAAATCCGCAGCAACGAGGAGATCCACGGATTGAAAATAGGCCAAACGCACCACAAAGTGTTGGCCTATGCGGACGATCTTCTTTTCCTAGTCCAAGAACCCACCAGATCACTACAGGCGATCAAAAAGGAATTTGAGACCTATGGCAGGATATCCAACATGCGCATCAACGACACCAAATCGGAAATTCTAGGCCTAACAATCCGATACCTGCAACAACTCGAACTTCGGCAACGCTTCCCATACCGATGGTGCACGACCAAGATGAGATACCTGGGGATATGGCTCACGCAAGACACGACGGATCTCTACTCTCACAATTACCTACCGCTTCTGCGAACAGCACAGGCCGAACTCCAAGCATGGAGTACAACATACATCTCTTGGCTGGGACGTATAAACGCGGTAAAAATGACCCTGCTACCCAGGTTCCTCTTTATCTTCCAAACGGTGCCCATAGAGGCGCCAAAGTCATTCTTCACCACCGCCCAAGCCATAATCCGTAATTTCATTTGGAAAGGGAAGCCCCCCGAATCGCCCACACTCAGCTAAACCTCCCCAAACTCAAAGGGGGCCTGACTCTCCCAGACCTGCGGAAATACCACCTAGCGACACACCTCACTCGAATAATCAACTGGTCAGTAAAGACCAGGGACAAACCCTGGGTACACCTGGAGGCAGATGCCACCAAATGCGACCTCACGACCCTCCCATGGATCATGAAAGAAGCCACCAAACAACTATCGCACACCAACCCATTCGTGAAAGCCACCCTACGCATCTGGCACCAGACTAGCCCCAAACACTATCTTACGACCAACCCCGGCCCGCTACTTCCCTTAAAAGGCAACCCGGACTTCCCGGCGGGCGGCATGGGCCCAGGGCCGGTGCAAGGATTTTTGCCGCCCTAGGCAAAAGAAGGATTTGCCCCCCTTTCCCCCCCTCCCCACGGAACATCGCAATGCCCCACCCATAGAACTAATGCCAGTGCTGCACACAGTGTGTGTTTAGATTAAAAAGCCTGCAGGGACAAACTATAGACAACTTTATTAAGCTGCAGTGGTTCTGGGGACTATAGTGTCCATTTAATGTGAGGTAAATTAGAGATTAGTGTCACTAATAATATACTAGATTGCCTACTTACAACCAGATGAGGATGATGATGGGCTCTGGCTCCACTGGTCTGGTGTAGAACAGGATCTCTGGAGGCTGTTTGTAACTGTGGTCACAAAATTCAATGTTCTGGGAGAACGGGAAGCAGCTCCATTTTTGGGGCCTCTTACATAGCTCAAGGTCTGGGCCCCAGGGCCTGACGGTGAGTATGCCCATAAAGCCCACCCATAAGTCCACCTACATGTTCCACCCATGGGTTCGCTCACAGGGAGTGGAATGTGTAGGGGATGTGTTATGTGTTACTGTAGAGGATCTAATGTCTGTGCTTATGGAATGTAGTGTATAGGGATACCAGTTTGTGTAGGTGATGCAGTATGTATGTAGTGGAAGCAGTGTGTTTTTGTGTAAGGGATAGAAAGCAGTGAGTGTTTGTGTATAAGGGATGTATTGTGTGTTTCTTGTTGTGTGTAAGGGATGCATTGTGTGAATCTGTGTTTGTATGCATAAGGGATACAAAGTGTGTTTCTGTGTATGTAAGGGATGCAGTGTGTGTGTCTGTAAGGGGTGCGTTGAGTGTGTGTAAGAGATGCATTGTGTTTCTGTGTGTGTGTGTGTGTGTGTAAGAGAAGCAGTGTGTGTTTGCATGTGTGTGTAAGGAATGCATTGTGTGTTTCTGTGTATATGTGCAAATGATGCATTGTCTTTATGTGTAAGGGTTGCATTGTGTGTTTTTCTGTGTGTAAGGGAATCATGTTGTGTTTCTGTGTGTATAGGGATGCATTGTGTGTGTGTGTGTGTGTGTGCGTGGTGTGAAAGAGCTCCCTGTCCCCCTGTCCTATAGAGCTCTCCCTTCCATTCCTTAGAGATCTCCCCTGCCCCTTAGTGGTCTCTCCTTTCCCCCCCACCTCCCTTAGTGGTCTCTCCTCTCCCCCCACCCTTCCCTAGTGGTCTATCCTCCACCCCCCTCCCTTAGCGGTCTCTCCTCACACCCCTCCCCTAGTGGTCTCTCCACCGCCCCCTCCCTCCTTTAGTGGTCTCTCCCTCCCCTACGTTCTCATCTCCCACCCCTTGTGTTCTCCTCTTATTCCCCCCCTCCCTGTGTTTTCCTCTTATTCCCCCCTCCCTGTGTTCTCCTCTTCTTCTCCCCCTGTAATCTTCTCTTCTTCTCCCCCCTCCCTGTAATCTTCTCCCCTCCCCCTTGTAATCTTCTCCCCCCTTCCCTCCCTGTAATCGCTGCTTCTCCCCCCGTAATCTTCTCTTCTTCTCCCCCCATAATCTTCTCTTCTTCTCCCCCCCAATCTTCTCCCCCCTCCCATCAATCATCTCCCCCCCACTTCCCTCCCATCAATCATCTCCCCCCCTCCTTCCCTCCCATCAATCATCTCCCCCCTCCCTCTCTCTTATCAAATCTCCCTCCCCTCAATCATCTCCCCATCCATCATCCAAGCCTCCTCCTCCCATCAATCTCCCCCCCTCCCTCCCTCCCATCAATCATCTCCCCCCTCCCCATCAATCATCTCCCCCCCTCCTCTCCCCATCAATCATCTCCCCCTCCCTCTCTCTTATCAAATCATCTCCCTCCCCTCAATCATCTCCCCCCATCCATCATCCCCCCTCCTCCCTCCCATCAATCAAGTGCACATCAGTGTGCACTTCCTGTCAGTCCCGCCGGGTCACGGGACCGGAAAGGAGCTCGGCCACGCTACAGCAGGGAAGGGGAGGTGAGGCACCGTGGCAGCCGCCTGAGCGCTCCCCATAGAGCGCTCAGGAGGCTGCAGAATTTAAAGGCCGGCGATGGGGGCACAGGGCGCCCCCTCCTATATGGCGCCCTAGGCGGCTGCCTAGTTCGCCTTATAGGAAGCGCCGGCCCTGCATGGGCCCTAATACGCGCCCAGTAACCGGCAACACGACTCTCCGAATGGTGGATATCATTTCACCCCCATTCACAATCAGGCCGATAGAGGCCATCTTCCCGGACCAGAGACACACATTCGCTCACAAGTTGGCGAGGGAACAAATGTCCCACTATGCACACTCCATCCCCCAGCGCCCATACTTGACAAGAGATTGCACAGAGTTTGAGACCCTGTGCAGACAGGACAAAGCCCCACTGAGAGCAATCTCCTTGATATACAAATTCCTAGTAACGAACAGATATCTCTTGGCCCCCCCATGCATCAGACGATGGGAAGAGGATCTAGAAGAAGAACTCAACGACGCGGACTGGTACAAAATCATCTGGCACGTTCAAAAGACCCCGAGCTCAGCTAGACATCAGGAAAACTCATACAAAATCCTCACCAGGTGGTATATCACCCCCACCACCCTCCACGCACGCCACAACTCAATACCGGCCACGTGCTGGCGATGCGGAGAGGAGGACGGAACATTCCTCCACATCTGGTGGGGCTGCACCCTCATCCAGCCGTTCTGGGAAGCGATACGACAAGTCATCCACACAGTGACGGATGACACCCCACCCATGTCACCAGCCTTCTTCCTACTACACCACACGACAATGCCCACTCCGACATATAAAAAAATCAGTGGTGCCACGCCTGCTCAATGCGGCGAAAACGACTATCCCTATATACTGGAAACAATCACGTGCCCCCCCACTCAGACACTGGGTGGAGGAGGTGGAAGACATAAGAAAATTCGAGGACCTGAAAGCTACCACGGCAGCGGCGAAAGAAAAGCACATGACTAGATGGTTCCACTGGATAAGACACATTGCTACAGATGAATTCCTACAATACCTGAACCCACCTTGAAACCTAGGATACGCAACCACGAGACATCCGGGGGCCTGCACCTGGGGCTACATGAAGGCGGGTCACCCTCAACCACACTCCCCCCCACCCCCCCTGGCGGGTCCCGACCTCACACCACTCACCCACTGACGGGAGGCAACTAGAACCACACAGCCCCCAAGGCAAAAGGCAGCTACCCACGGACCTGCCTCATCCGAGACTCAGACCCACGCCCCACCACCGCATGAAGACATGACTCAGCGACCACACACTACCACAGAGGAGGGGGCACCACTGCACCCTACGACCAGCCCACTCGAGCCATATACCTCCACAGGCAACCCAAACGCAATTGCAGGCGACAATAAGCACCAGAAGGCAGCGATCCGAGACACGGCCCACAAGGAGCATAACCACACATACACATCCATACACGGGTTCCGCAGCCATCAGAGACATAGGTTAGACAACAACTGCCTCCCTAAACCACCAACACAGAACACAAACAACGCAGCCACAAAGGGCCTCGGGCATCATAACGACCGCCCGAGCAACCAAAAAAAAAATGACGACAATCACCACCTAGGCGCACGGTTCACGCCCCATGCACAGAGACAAAACACAAACAACGCACCATCCACAGACACACAAGCTGAATGCCCACCAAAGCCCCCAAGGGAAATGGGAAATCACGCCCCAAGACTAGCCTTAGACCTTCACACCATCACCACCATACCTCTCTGGTAACGACTCCGTTTACCTGTCTACCCTTAGCAACACACAGCTAGATGACAAACAACAAGACAAATGGAAAAATAATCTAAGCCCACAACCTGAACGAAGTCATGTGGATTCATAGAGCTAGTATCTGTTGCAAATCCTAGTTCCTAATGTACCTGCACGTTTTATCCGAAACGCCTCTGCGCAGGCAACCATGAGCTTCCCATGAAACAAGAATGACTACCTGCTTGTACCTGCAATGCCAAATACAAAAGAAGCATTTAAAACAAACCCGCCTTTGCGCAGGCAACCAAAGGAATACTGTGTTAGATTAATGTTGCAGCCCCTGCGTGGGCAATCAATTGCCTTGTTATAAATCAGTTTGATACCTAAATTCCTAATATGCTTAAAAATAAAAATATTCAAAACAATTTTACAACAAATTAGAATGGCAGTCAGATCTCTCCTTGGATCAAGAAGAGGTTACTCTACACATTAAAAATGATATCTTTGAATATTAAAAAAAATAATAATAATAATGCGTGCAAAAAGGCAATTAGACTTGCTAAACTTCAAAATGAAATAATGATAGCTGAAGAGAGCAAAACCAACCCCAAAGCATTTTTAAGTACATAAATTCTAAAAAACAAACAAAATGAAAGTGTAGGTACACTAAAAACTGAAACGGGGATGTTAGTTAATGAAGACCAGGAAAAGGCAGGAATTTTAAATAACTATTTCTCCTCCGTATATATTAAGGAAGAACCCATGGCAATAGATGTGCAAATGATTGCTACTAAAAACTTGCAGAATAATTGTAATTGGTTAACTCAAGACAAGGTGCTGCAGCAACTAAAGAAAGTTAATATAAACAAAGCTCCAGGGCCTGACGGTATCCATCCACGTGTACTTAAGGAACTAAGTGTAGAAATAAGTGAACCTCTGTTTTTAATCTTTCAAGATTCTTTTCTTTCAGGAAGTGTTCCAGAGGATTGGAGGAAGGCAGATGTGGTTCCTATATTCAAAAAGGGTTCAAAATCTTTGCCTGGAAATTATAGACCTGTGAGCTTAACTTCTGTGGCTGGTAAAATATTTGAAAGGTTATTAAGGGATAATATTCAAGAATTCCTTGAGAAGAACATGGTTATCAGCAAAATCAGCATGGTTTTATGAAGCACAGGTCATGTCAAACTAACTTGATTGCGTTCTACGAAGAAGTAAGTAGAAGTATAGATCAGGGTGTTGCCGTGGATGTGATCTATTTGGATTTTGCCAAGGCATTTGATACAGTTCCACACAATAGATTAGTGTTCAAACTCAAGGAAATCGATCTAGATGAAAATGCTTGTTCTTGGATAGAACATTGGCTTAAAAACAGAGTACAAAGAGTTGTCATTAATGGTGAATTTTCAAGCTGGACAGAGGTGGCAAGTGGTGTCCCTCAGGGGTCTGTTCTGGGACCCCTTCTATTTAACATGTTTATAAATGATCTTGAAGACCGCATTGAAAGTCATGTTTCAGTGTTTGCAGATGACACAAACTTTGTAAAACAATACAATGTGAGCAAGATATTACTTTGCTGCAGAGGGATTTAGATAGACTGGGGGACTGGGCACTCAAATGGCAGATGAAATTTAATGTTGAAAAATGCAAAGTTATGCACTTCGGCGTAAAGAATACACAAGCAACGTATACCCTTAATGGAAGCGAATTAGGGATAACAACACATGAAAAGGACTTGGGAATTGTTATAGACAACAAACTATGCAACAATGTGCAATGTCAATCAGCAGTGGCCAAGGCCAGCAAGGTATTGTCATGCATGAAAAAGGGCATTCATTCTCGGGACAAGAATATAATTTTGCCTCTTTATAAAGCACTGGTAAGACCCCATATTGAATACGCTGTGCAATTTTGGGCACCTGTTCTAAAGAAGGATATTATGGCACTAGAAAAAGTGCAGAGGCAGGCTACAAAATTAATAAAAGGAATGGAACATATCGGCTATGAAGAAAGGTTAACAAATTTAAACCTATTTAGTTTAGAAAAACGTCGCCTGAGAGGGGATATGATAACATTATACAAATATATTTCGGGGCCAATACAAACCATTGTGTGGAAATCTATTCACAAACCGGACTTTACATAGGACACGAGGCCATGCGTTTAGACTGGAAGAAAGAAGATTTCGTCTAAGGCAAAGGAAAGGTT